ATTTTGCTGTCGACCATTACGCCATTTACTGGATTAATGCGCGAAATCACCACCTGAAATCAAAACTGAAAACTGACCACTTGACATTTTGGAATAAGGTCCAACCCGATAGTTAGTCACGTCGTCTGCCAACGATGATAGCAAGATTTCTGAGGGGTCCCAAGCTACGTGTAGCATTTTGTCTGATCGTTCGATCAGTTCCAAATTGGACGGAGCAGGAAGCCAGTAAAGAATACTTTCGCCTAAAATCCAGTAACCCATTACATATCGATAAAGGGAATTCGAATAATATATGCTAATGACGCTACCACCCTTGCTCAAAGTTCTATTTTGATGCGACGGGAGGACTAGCTTCTCACAGTAACCGCGGAAATATTGCTTGCTGAAACATCGAAACTGCATGCTTGAGGATCTCCTGACAGACAGGCTGTAGGGAAGCGATTAGAAGAAAAACGTTGCATTTTTGGCAACACTATGAATAGAAAAATGTGTGGTGTAAACAAAGATGACATAATCACATCATCACAAAGATCGCATCACACCTCATCAGCATCCTCACAGTTCAACAAAAGAGGTGTGAAGTTTAGGTAGACGGGGTCTGTTCGAAAAATATGCCTTTTCCTATTTTTCAGCTAAATATTTACAATGCATTTCTATCCTCTTTGGTTGAAGTCGATCTCTATTTAGTACATCGTCGCATTTTTACATGACTTTCACTAAAAGATCTGAATATTTCTTTAATCACGCTACAAGGTGACGGTCCTAAAATTCGCCCAGCGTCTCCCATAAGGTTAAATATGCCTCATAATGAAACAAATTTGTGTCATTGGCACCTTACGCAGCAATTTATGAGCTTCAAAACACTCCATATTTCAGCTGTATAGCACGAGCAGTAGGAAAGCAGCAATATACAGAATTGGAATGCACCCATTCTTAGTAGCTACCCCCTGCCATTGAAGTCATGTAATGTTTTCTGAGAAAAAAGCTGCCATTATTCTAGATGTCAGCTGGTTCACTAGCGGTATGATCAAAAAGGAATCGCTCATACTAAAAACCTGGTTGGTCTGTTTTATACGAAAAGGGTACTATAAAAGCGGTCGCTCGAGTGTGAAGCAGACAACGTGTACTGAAGAATTCATATGATATCAGACACACTTGCAAAGAAATGCTTGCACTGCTCCATCGAGAGAGAAAAAAACTTCGTACAAACAGTAAGGAATATAAGAATGCTCTGCGGATGGCAGCAATTAATTTATCTTCTGTCTCAGAGCTGGGTGCAGCGGTTTTATATTTGAAGGCGTGGATTACTAGTACGAATGACCACCGCGGTGGCTGGACATCAGTTATGCTGTCGTCGAATCGGACAGTTGGATAAAATAATGTGCTTCATGGCAACAGCCACCCTGCGGGCTGGACTTCCAACGGTGGAGGAGTACGCAGCACTCTTATCCTGCCCAAATCCAGTTTAACCCTGATAATTCATGACGATCAAAGTTCATTCGAGGGTTCCCTGTGGGCGGGTTGAAGATATGGTCTTAGTTACTGGCAGGTGTAACGTCTGAATCTGGTCGCCACAAAACTCATTATGGGCATCAGCGCCGGTTCTCATGGTGGTGTGGCGTGATTTCAGACATCGCATTTGGAAATATTCGACGACATGAAGAATGTGGAAATGACGAACTGTCTCAATGGTCCGGAAAGGGCAAAATGACTGCTCGCCTATACGGAGGTGAAGGGTTCAATATGCAACAAAATCGTTAATCACTGCATTTGGGTTGCCAATTATTATTAACGAAGCTGGTAAACCGGAACTTGATTACATGACTATAGTAATCGTCATCAGTCTTTTATGATCAAGGCTTCGTAAATCTTTGATACAAAATTCTGTCTTCTGTATTTCTACTCATGAAGCATCATGAGGTCTTGAACCCTCTAGAAATCTATCTGGTCTAACGATGGCCGTTCTTCTTGCAACGTGTTCCATACATTATCATCAAAACTTCTTCTCTCCTGAAATAACATCAGACTCATTTTTGTGCTTTTAGCCATTCGTACTTCTTCTTATGCTTACTTGTTATTTCAAACATAAATCATTCCATGTTGCGTTGCACTCTCCGCAGTTTATAGATACGCTTCAGACTTAAGGTACTCATTCGGCTTTTACGTTAGGACTGGGAGCGTATTCTATCCACTTGAAGCACAAGAACTGTTTTTAAGATTTTAGATTTTCTAAAGGTGCCATTTTGATTGGCTATCATAATTACGTAATCCAAAAAATCTGAAAAAAATTTTTCCGCTAGATCAGCTTAATCGATCTGTATTCAGTAATAAAACATATAGCATGAATACGAGTGTTTCTTTCATTTTTCTGTCGTCTTAGCCACTCACTGCCACACTGAACTTTGTAAGCCAGATATAAAAAATCGCTCAAACTTCTAAAAAGACCGCACCATTTTTTATGATCCTGCGGGTATCTCTGATGATATGCGCCATCCATTGGTTGCCAGTAAGAATAGTTCATGCCCAGCCTACTACAGTTCCTGTGCATACCTTAAATTTACTCTGGAGGCTTTATGAGGGACAACAAGTGCGAACCTTCGAATCCTGTCAGATTTTGTCCTCTAAGATTGACCCATGGCGTGACATGCAAGCAACCTGAAATACAAACCTTTCCCTTTCGTTCTGAACACTTTAGACATCGACCATATCCAGCGGCCAGATGATGCGCCTCTTACGGTGACGTTGTAGTTCGTATCTGGTTCCAGCTTCTTGAAATGATGCGTCGTCTGGTCGTGTGAAATGTTTTTCCTCTCCAACGGAGCAACCATGCCACCGAAAGTTTCTGGTGCTATTTCAACCTAGATCATAGAAATCAATTACAAATGAGCCAGAAAACCGAGAAAATTTCACAGTTTCACATATTACTGGAATTGAATAAGGGTCTTCAAAGCTTATTTGTATGCCTTGTTCAACACTTGTGATCAGTGACACGATAAGAGAAAGAACTTACACTGTAGTGAGAAACTTCCTCCTGTACATCTTCAGGAACTGCCCAGTGAACTCTGAGACTGTCCTCGTCAGCTTGAAGCAGCTTTAGAAATCCCAAGGGACTTCCTTCTGAAATGATCAAACCAGAGGTAAGACGACTTTCCTGTCGACCGCAATGTGCATGTCATTATTCACCTGCTCGGCTTTCTTTTGTACTGGCGTAAACGGTGGGTGCCCAGCGTCCGGTTCTGCCGTCAGGTGATACTGCCGCAACCTCCAGACGATAAGTCGACTGCGGGTCCAAATTTTTCAGAGTGTAACACAAACTTTCTGCGCTAATAAGTGAACTTTTCATGTTGGCACAAGAGAGGTCGTCAATGTCCACGGACACTTCTCGCATATTCTCATTTGCCTTTGAATATTTGAGACGGTAGTGACCGATTGGGGATTTCACCGGGTAAGGTGGGAGCCAGCTAAATGTTATCTGCCTGGCTCCAATCGAAACCGGATGAACTTCTCGAGGCATTCCTGTCTCTGAAAGTATTAAGAATGCTTATCACAAAATTCACTTGTACTACATTTGCAAAAGTAGCTATAAATGTCAACCACACTGATTAATCAAAATGAAAACAAAACTTAAGTTAGGGGGAGACTTACCGCTGCTAGAACCTGATGATCCTCATCAAAGATGACTCAAATGACGGCAAGATATACTGAGAAATTCATTCGTTTGACAGTAGAAAACAATGTGCAGCTGCCCTTCAACTTTCATTTCCCTGATGATTTAAGGATAACTACTTCAAGACACGATTTGCCGATGTACAGCACCACCCTTCACTCCTAGTCACCTAAGATGTCACTTAATTTCCACCGTATCATCATCATGTACGCGACAGACTGGCAAAACAGACTGTCGTTTATAACTGTATTGTAGGTATTGCACCAAAAAGTATGTAATCAATCATCTGCTTCCTCAGGAATTGAAACATAACGAAGTATAATTAAGGGATTTGCTTCATAATTGAAATTTCTCCCATAAAGTTTCAAAGAACATAAGCAACGCAGAAACACTTTACAAACCATTATATAAAAAAATGTACAAAATGCTTACCACTGCCGGAAGTCCTTATCTCGAGTGGAGGAGACCATGGACCATGACCAAGACTGGTGAAAGCCCTGACCTGAAACTGGTACCTAGAACCTGGCGCAAGGTCGTGCAGCAGCGTCCGGGTACGAGCAGTCGTCGCTTGTCGAAGATCATGCTAAATCACATAACAGGTACATTGCTATCGAGGCTGTATAGCTTTAAATACACACAAATGTGAGCCCTACAGAACCTGACATATAAGTGAAGTGCTCTCATTGCTCATCTCTCGAAGCAGAGAGCCACATGACAAAAATACAAAATTAACAACAGTGGAGTATGTTTTCCATATATCTACAATTATGCGGTAACCATGAACCTATCTAGCGCATAACAACGCCAGTATCTTAATAACTTGACTCTTATTCAAGCAAATGGGAAAATCGTTATGTAAAAGCTTCAAAAACAAAACAGACAGCTTATTTTCAGAATGAAGGAGAAAGTCGCGAGGCATCGCAACACCCCACGGAAGACAGCCAAGTAACAGATCGTTGATCAGATGAATTAGAAGTACTGAGAACCTGGCATCTTTATGTATAGAAGTCGAAGTGATGGACTGCGTCTGTTCAGCGGAAGACCAGTTCCATTGGAAAAACCTCCGGAAGGTGATCTCTCCTGATCTGAACAGAATATCATCATCGTCACTTGCCCGCAGTTGATGGGAGAACAGTTGTACTAATAAAACGAATATCCGCGAACCATCGTCCTGATGCGCAAGGAGATAAAATCATGGTGCAGTGGTTTCATCGCAATATTTGTTCTTGTGGGTTGTCCTTAAATCTCCTTAAATAAAGGGAGACGCAGAGCAGTTTAAAGCAGCCACATTGCTCCTGTGTAAGCAGATACCTGCTTGTGGACCAAAGGCCGCAGTTTGCTTCATTGGAGGTAAGCTCATCTACTGGCCGGCAAAAAATGGCCGCCGCTTATCAGCCGTGGAGCGGTTTTGACCACTGGTGAAAAGTTTGTAATAGCCGAACAGGATACCATGCTTGGAGAAATGAAGGAAAGAGTTGATAAACGAATCGATAACCGAGTGAATGGATGAATAAACGAATGCTTCAACGAACGAACAAACGAATAAATGAATGAAAATAGATTGTTGATGGAGATCAATTTTCAATGAAACACATGTATTTTTATTTTATGCTTCAGTTAGTCCACGGTGTAATTAAAACAGAAGAGAACAAAAATAGAAGTTGCAAGATAATTCTTACCTCAACCCAAGGGTCAGAACCAACGAACTTGTACTCATACTGTGTGATTTCGCCGTTGCGAACATCGCACTGTGGTGATTCCCACGATACCGACGCGGAGGTCTCGCTAATTTCGTGGGCGCTGACGTGAACCGGTGGACCGTCTGGCACTGAAAAAAAAATAATGTTCAAGACAGAGATATAGCTTTGTCTCGTTTTCTAAGCTCACCCTTTTCGCCTGTCCTTATTTCCTTCACAACTTTAGGAGTATTGATTTCAAACGAGGAAGGAACCGAAAGAGAGTTCCTTGGCGCAATCGTCACCTCATACAAAGAGTACGGCAGCAGCTTCTGCAATGAAACGCACAAAATAATTATTTATATTCATTCTGGAGTACCAGATGCAGTGTTACTCATGTTCATATAATAATTACACAAATTTAGAAAGCTTAGATGGCGGGGCTACAGAGTTCTGCCCTGTGAAATATTTCGGCAAAGATACAATATGCTGGATTGCAAATATCTGTCGTTGTTACATATTGTTACCATCATGGCTTAACTGCACTGACATCCTGGAACGCTGCTTTCCACCCCCTCCCCCCCCATCGATCGCTCGAAATGTCTGCCCTCTAAGTTCAATCAGCTTACATCAACTCTTTTTATCAGTACACTGCGGAACCATAGATTCAACGATGGTTAATAATATTATCAACGAGATCAATATAACATCAGCTCTGATTAGGACCCTTTTTTTCTGGTCAAAGGAACAGGATGATGTCAAGTACAATGGAGC